TTTTCCCGTGTGTTCAAACGATGTCGCAGAGAACCCCATCCCATCCCCGTCCCAATGCGGCATCATCCCCGTTCTTTTGAATGCTGGTTTCCTGGGGAATTACATTTGCGCGACCAGAATGATACCGGAATGATGCTGCTTTCGTTCATTGCGCAATGATGCTAGTTGCATCTGATAGCAATTTCCGTCTTGTGGGGTCTATACCGGTATAGTTCTGGATTGATTCCATACCGCTTTCTTGCCGCTTTGAGACCCGCGTGTGATAACGTCCATAGCCTGCCAGTCCTGCTATTGTTACTTTCTGTGTCTCTTCTGCTATGGCATAACTTCATTTATCTGATGGCAAGGTGTGGAAAAAAATGTAGCTCAGGCTGGAAATGCGTATTATCTGGCCACCTTATCAGTAAACAAGATTGGAGATATTGGGCCCCTTCATATATTGTGAAAGAACAATTCAAAGTGCTGGTCATGACCTATAAAGTACTATATGGCTTAGGCCCAGATTTTTTTGGAGAACTGTATCTCTCCATCTGAACCTGCCCAAACACTAAGATCTTCAGGGCAAGGCTTTATCTTGGTCCTGCCACCATTCCAGGCTTGCTTAGTGAAGACACAAGAGAGATTTCTCAGTGGCTGCTCCCACTCTCTGGAATGCACTTCCATGGCAGGCTAGGCTCCCTTCCTGCTCTCTTTTTGCTGGTAGGCGAAGAAATGTTTATTCAAGCAGGCTTTTAATATATAATCATATCAGGGTGGCTTGTATATGGGTGTGTGTGTGTTTTAATTATGCTTTTTAACTCCTGTATATTTGAACTATAATTTTATACTGTCTTTAGTTAGATTATTTTAACTAAATACAATTTTTATTGTAAAATTTTAAAAATGTTTTTATTTGTGAGCTGCCTTGGGTCCCTTTCTGGGTAAAAGGAAGCACACAAATGAAAATAATGATAATGATAATGATTCAGATATTGTGGGACTCCATTTTCCATAGTTCTTCAGCCAGCATGGCCAGTGGGATCTGTAATCTAACCACATATGGAAGAGCCACAGGTTCCCCAGATCTCTGTCCCACCTCTGTGGCTATTTCGCTACAAAATGATGTTGCTGATACTGTGTGTTTTCAATAATTTCTGGCTTATGGAAACCTTAAGACAAATCTATCATGGAGGGGTTCTTGGCAACATTTATATAGAGGAATCATTGAGCTGGAAGGGGTCTCATGGGCATTAAGGTCTGTCCCCCTGCACATTGCAGGACCTCTATATAAAACATCCCCCACAGGTAGCTGTCCAATGTATTTTTGAAGACCACCAGAGAAAGAAACCCTACCACCTCTCAAGGCAACTGATTCCATTGCTGAACTGCTGTCACTGTCAAGATGTTCCTCCAATTGAAATCTTTGTTGTTGTTAACTGCATCTGAGTCAATCTCGACCCATGGCAACCCTGTGGATGAGACATCTCCTAGACTCCCTGTCCTCTACTGCTCTGCTTAGGTCCTGTAAACTCATATCCACGATCTCCTTTATAGGAGATCTTCTCCAGCACCACATCTCAAATACATTGATTTTCTTCCTATCTGCTTTCTTCACTGTCCAGCTCTCACATCCATGCATGGTAATAGGGAATACAATGGCTTGTATGATTCTAACTTTTGTGTTGAGTTGTATTATTTTTGCATTTTTAGAATCTTTTCTAGTTTTTTCATAGCCACTGTCCCCATTCTTAATCTTCTGATTTCCTGACTGCAGTCCCTATTTCGATCAGTGTTTGATCCCAGGTATGAGAACTCTTTTACTACTTCTATTTCTTCATTGTCTAAGTTGAATTTGTCAACATTCTCCATTGTCATTATTTTTGTTTTTTTTATGTTGAACAGTAGGCTTGCCTTTGCACTTTCTTCCTTGATCTTTTTTAGCAGTTGCTCCAGGTCTAGGAGGGTTTCTGCTAGTATTATGGTGTCATCTGCATATCTTAGATTATTGATATTCCTTCTTCTTATTTTCACTCCTCCTTCTTCTTTGCAACATTACAACCATTAGTGTGAAAAGATAAAGAAAACTACTATAATGACCAGTAAAGAGAATTAGAAGACAAAAAAAAAAGGGGGGGGGGGAAGAGACCTTTTCTACAAGAAATCAAAAGAAAGTTCAAACCAAGGATTGGGATGCTCTATGACAATAAAAATAATATAATTCAAGACCAGGAAGG